AAGGAGGAGGAAAATGGGGTCAACGGCTCCTGAACACATCCTAGTGGTCTCGGGGTCCACGGCCCTCCCTGATCCCTAATGCTCAGTGGGCCTCCGTGGCCGGCACCCAACACTTTTTCATGTGCCTATTGGCTGCCTGTGTATCTTCTTTTGAGAAGTGTCTTTTCATGTCTTTTACCCATTTATTAATGGGGCTATTTTCTTCCTTTCAGCATGTTTGAGTTCCTTGCAGATCCTGGATGTTAAGCCTTTGTGAGATACACAGTTGGCAAATATTTTTTCCCATTCTGTGGGCTGTCTCCCCACTCTCTTGATGGCTTCTTTTGTTTTGCAGAAGCTATTCAGTTTGATGAGGTCCCACTTATCTATCTTATCTCTTATGGCATGGGCACTTGAGGCTTTGAATTAAGTCCTGGGGTACAAAATAAATGTGCAAAAGACAGTCACATTTGTATACACCAAAAACAAACAGGCAGAGAACCAAATAAAAAGTACAATACCATTCACAATAACCACACACACAAAAATGAAATACCTCAGCATCTTCCTAACCAGAGAATTGAAAGACTTTTACAATGAAAACTACAAAACACCACTCAAAGAAATCCAAGAAGACACAAATGGAAAAATATTCCATGTTCGTGGATAGGAAGAAACAACATTGTTAAGATGTCCATCATTCCAAAGGCAATCTACAGATTCAATGCAATACCCATTAAATTACCAACATCATTCTTCTCAATGAAATGACAATACAGAAACTTATATGGAAACATAAAAAACCATGAATAGCCAAAACAATTCTTAGCAAAAGAAACAAAGTGGAAGATATCACCCTTCCAGACTTTAAACTTTACAATAAGGCTACAATACTCAAAATAACCTGGTGTTGGTACAAGAATAGGCATATGGACCAATGGAACATGATAGAGATTCCAGAAGCAAAACCTCAGTTCTTCAACCAACTCATCTTTGACAAAGTCTCCGATAACCACTACGAAGAGGAAAACTGATACAGGACTTTCTAGAATTAGAAACAAGAAAAACAATATATAGATCTTTAATTGTAACTTTGATTTCTTTTCAGGAATTAGTACCATTTTTTGAAACATCTGACTAATTATAGTATAATTATCTACTGAAGTATAATATGGGTGAGACTGTTGTGAACTATATTGTAAATGTTCTCATCTAGAGTGTTTTCATTTGTCTTTCATAAAAAAAGATATTCTTTCACTAAATGCCCAGATCAGGGTCTGAAATAGTAAACACAATAAATACCTTATGGTGCTCATTTTAATATAAAGGCCAATGCCTTTAAAAATTTTAGCTGTGAAGACAAATTTTTTGACTAACAGGTTTCCCAATATTTTCAGAGACTGTTTTCTGTAACATTTCTGTGACAGTAACATTACAAACAAGACTTATGAAATGAATTATGTTACCACAGCATTACTAGACAGGTCTTGTAAAAGTGATGAAAGGAGGAAATTTTATTGAATGAATCTTGATTACTCTTAATAAACACTATGTAAAATGCACATATTAACATAAATTGAATTAAGGAATTACTAATGTCATGTTGTTCTTTTTTCTCCAATGTCTTTCTCTCTCACTCTTTTTTTTACAGTCAAAAATAGCTTTACTGGAATGTTTTTAGTTATAGCTAAAGGCAATAACATTTACAACATTTAGTTATACCATAAACATGCGGAAATTGCTTGCAAAACAACTGCAATATGAAAAAATAATATTTTTGTGAATATTGACAGAATGGTTATGCATCTCTTTCAGCATAACGATGTGGTACTCCACATAGGTTTCTTGACTCCCAGCCTGACCTGCAACCTAACACAACAATGCAAGTCCTTATGCCATTAAAATACTAGTATCAAATATCGTCATCAGTGTTTCACTATATACACAAACAATGAACTGGCAAGTATCTAGTTTCAAATTAGATCCTTGGAATATAGCAAAATAGAGGCTAGTTATCTTCACCGTAAACGTAATTATTAAAAGCACATTTTATTAGAAAGGAAGAAGATAATTGAACATTCTCAATGCTCCAATTTGAAGTGATACTTGACTCTTAGTTTCTTGAAAAAGAAGTTTAAAAAGTTATATACATAGGTTTCATTTAAATTATGCAGCAATCTTTTATTATTATTGTCCAAGATCTTTTAATGAAGCCCTCTCTGTCATCAAATCAAGTATGGTATTTCACAACTATAAGAATGATAATCACTAGCAAGAGGATACCAGCAGCCAAAGCGATGATAGCTTTTATTTGGCATTCATGCCACCACATGCTTCTAAGTTGTTGCTTAGAATCTGTTGGATCTGTTGCTAAAAGCAGTTGCATTTTCCCACAAGCTTTCTGATTTTTCCTGTACTTCATCTAGTCTCTCCCTTCTCAAGTACCTTTGTAATATTCTCTTGCATGACATTAATAACTTTATCCACCTGATTCTGAACATGCTTAATTTTATCATTTCTAGGTCCAAATCTTGGTCCAGATGGCCCTCTTAGAAAAAAGTTCTCTTCTTCATCTGATGGCCCTCTTAGAAAAAAGTCCTCTTCTTCATCTGAATTATCTTCCAAAAGATTTCGCCTTTCACTTTTCACAGAGTCAGAGATGTCATCATCATTTAGGTGGCGATTGAACATGAGAGGCATGCTTTTTACCCATGAAGTACTTTACTACTTCTCAGCAGAGTAAGTATTCACCACCTGGGGCTCCAGGGACTCCGGGGGCAGCGTGGGTGGCGAGGGCGGAGCTGGCAGCCCAGAATGATGTGAGGTGATAGCAGCGGGCCCGCATGGAGCCCCTGGGTCCTTCTCTTAAATATTAAATTCCTATGTGTAAATAGATTTTATCACTTGCCATTCAAAAATACTTTCAAAATACATAAATGTTACTTAGATAAAAATGAATTACTCTTCTCGATAGATTGTTCACTCTTATACTGGAGAAATCTTCACTCTAGATAAAGAATACTTTTTATATAACAATTTAAATAGAGGTCATCTTTCTATTCTAACTCGTCCAGAGGACGTGGTGGAAGCAGGTGCCTCTATTGCCTGAAGTGGCCTCCACCCACAAAAATGCCCTTCCAGCCTTTCACTGACTCTCCAATATGTGACCACATAAATGACTGCTGAGGGCAGCTGCCTTTGGCATAGAGATGCCAGCTCAGCTATGAAAGTTCAGAGGGAAAGGGACAAACCCATAACATGGAGAGGGAACTACTTTAGGCGAGGCAAAAGCTTAGGAAAAGGATCTTGAGTGTTGAAGGCCCAGTTTTGTCCTGGCTCATGGAAGGCTGGGGTGCTTTTGTCCTAATTCACAAGTGAAAACTGGAAAATATTAAATGACTTTTAGAAAGTCCCTTTCATTTTAGTCTTACTTTCCCATCAAATAACACATTTTCCTCATAGTTCTCTCTTTCTTTTCTTCCTTCCCCCTCCTGCTCATATTTCTTCTCTTAATTGAAAATCTGAATTGCTGTCCCCATCTGAGTGACTTAATGTAGTGACTGGCACAGATTACACATGGAGAAAAAAAAGAGAGAGAGAGAAAGGTCTTGGTGACATTAATTGCTGTTATATTCAGGTAGGCAAGGGTACCATCAATGGATTTGAAGAGTGCAGAGCAAATGGCTAGGAGAAACTGAATGTTGCCAGAGGAAATAAAAAGCTTAAAAAACTGCTAATCTTCATTTTACACATAATAGTAAATTAAGGGCTATATTAGTACATTGTAAGAAAAAAATACATAAACTATTTTTAATAGCAATGCTTCTCTTTCTCCATGGACTTCCTGCATATTTACAGGTGAAGATTAGGTTTCAGATGGTGGAGGTAGCTTGAACTAATCATCAAGAAGGGGAGCACATCTGCGAGTTCATTCATACTTTTACACTTTTAAGTAGAAAAGGGTGAGAAAATTATAAACAGGAGAACAAGGCACCAGTGAATTGTAACTAACTAGGAGGATTCTCTCATAACAGGTAGTTTTCAAACTATGTCCCACAGAAACCTAAGGTTTCACGGAAGACCGCCAGAATTAAGAGATAAGAAAGTCACTGGTTCAGAGCACCCAGTCCTCCTTCAGCCACAAAGCCCTACTTCTACCTGTTTTACATAATATGTTTTCTTTTCTTTTTTTTTTGAGTTGGAGTCTCACTCAGTCGCCCAGACTGGAGTACAGTGGCCGCTCCCGGCCACGGCAGCCTTGACCTGCTGGGCTCCGGCGATCCTTCCGCCTCAGTCTTCCAAGTAGCCGGAATTACAGGCATGTGCTACTTCGTCCGGCTGATTTTTTGATTTATTGTAGAGATGAGGTCTCGCTGCCCAGGCGGGTCTCGAACCCGCGGGCTCAGGCAATCCACTCACCTCAGCCCCCCAAAGGTGTGGGATTACAGGTCATGCCATTTTTCTTAGTGTTCTAGTTTTTGAAAAAAGAAATATTTTTGAGGTGTGAAAATCTCTAATTTAGTCAAATTCCCTAATTGTACCTAAGAGGCAACTCAGGCTCAGGGAGCCTGCAGGTAGCCTGAGGTTACAAAGCCAATTAGCTACAAGCCGGGAATGGACCTTCTTATTGAGCCTAGAGTTCCATGCTAGCTACTTCCTTCTCATTCAGAAAAAAAAAAAGATGTAGATTTAAAACATATTTAATAGAGAAAATGCATATGTAAAACAGTGAGGGAGCTCAATAAGGTTTAGTCATGAGACATAAAAAAGTAAGCCGGGTGCAGTGGCTCATGCCTGTAATCCCAGCACTTTAGGAGACTAAGGTGAGAGAATTGCCTGAGCCCAGGGGTTCAAGACCAGCCTGGGTGACTTGGTGAGACCTCATCTCTACAATGAATAAAAACAAATGAAACTTAGTGGGGTGTGGTAGTGTGCACCTATGGTCCTAGATACTTGTAAGGCTGAGACGAAGGACTGCTTGAGCTCAGAAGGCTGTGGTGACCCATGACCTTGTCACTGCACTCCAGCCTGGGTGACAGAGTGAGACTTCGACTCAAAAAAAGAAAAGAAAAAGAAAGAAAGAAAAGAAAAGAAAATAACTTTCTAAATATAAAGCTCTGAAATTATGAATACAAATTTTAAAAACAGTAATTAATATCATAATGTCTACTAGTAGCAATAAATATGTTCGATTTATAAACCACAACTTTTGAAACCACAGATGGGAACACTAAGGAGAAAACTTTTCTTTGCACCAAACAAGCTAAAGTTGAGGAAATTCTTCCTAATAAACTATTTGTTTTCTCCCAAAAAGAATTGATTTACCAAATTCAATCAACAAATACATTCTCCATGTTGTGGGTTAATTTACAGCAAAATTGAAAACATACACAGAAAAGATTTCTCTTTACCACCTGACATACTTTGTCCAACTTCTCATCTTCAGTTGGTTCATACAAAAACATGGAATTAATTTCAATTATAATTTAAATCCAGGCAGAAGTGATTGGAGAACCTCTGTTTTCTTAGCCTCAAGTTTTCTGTGAGGACTTATACTCTCTACTTTTCTCTTGAGAGGTGGGAAGATTTACCTCATCAGTGAATTTGAACGAAGCACATTGATTGTGCTTGCTTGTCTCCACATCTCTTTGTTGAAAAGATGTGTGGTCTACAGTAACTTGAATTTGGGTCTTTTGTCATCTCTGTAGTCAACAGCCTGCTCCTGGGACAGTGTCAGGCACCTGTTTCCTCCACTGACAACTGTGTGGTAAATGTCTAATCTGGGATGTAGTATTCAGGAACCCACTGTGGCTGCTTATCTGAGCCACATCCTCCTATTAGTTATGATGAGTCAGTGAGATAGCTAGAGTGTTCGTAGATGTCCCTTGGTCTGACTCCTACATTCTGAATTCAGAAGGGGAAGGGAGTGCCATTTGCCACCTACCTCATAAACGGCCCCAACTAGAAAGATGACTCCACGACATTCATAGAAATGTTTTCTTTATCCTTGACTTTATAATCTTACTGTACATGCTTCAACACAGCCTCACTTTAAACAGAGGAAGAGTTGGAAGGAAGATAATAGAAAAAGAACTATAGTGAAATCGACAACAACAGCAAAACTCATGTAACGACAACTTATTGACAGACTACCAGCAAATTATCCTTGAGATTTCAGATTGAAAGGCAATGCTGTATTCTCTTTTTGAAACCAATTTGATAAAAGACATACACCCCCTCCACACACACATACAGATACACACACACAACCCATAATTACTTTCAATAACAGTGTTTTTAAATTAAAATTGGATGTCATTCTCTTTTGGGGAGCGCTCAAATGCTCTGAAAGTAAGTATGCACTCAAATGTAATATACTAAAAAAAGTTTGCCCATTTAAACTGCTACAATCCAACATCGCATGGTAAATAGGTTAATGTATGAAGGGAATTACACTTTTCAGTTTATAAATATTGAACTGAAAATATAAAATACTTTATAAATATCATAGAGAAAAGACCTGAAGGGCAGTTTGTTGGTGGAGGAGCTGAAGGATTAAGTACAGAGCCATGCATATATTTCCAACTTTGTGGAGAAAAAAAATAAGTGAAAGAAAAGAAATTGGAGAAATTTGAGAGATTACTTGAAACCTTCCAAAGATAAAATGACTCCTTGGCATTTGGTTAAGTAGACAAAATGAAGTTGAGACAGAAGGAATTATATAGAGACTACAACTGATGTTTTAAACATGTTTATTAAACTCAATTTTTGCCTCATTAGTAAATAGCACAACTATTATGAAATTTGACTAGAAGTAAAATTTGGAGTAGACAAGTACTACCTTTGTGAGGTAAAAAGTCCTATTTTTAGCTGTGAAGTGTTTTCTTGAGACACAAAGTTCCATCCTAAAAAGTTCAAATCTTAAGAGTATGGTTTTAGTCTTGATGTGCCTGTCAACCACATTTAGAAAAAGAATTGTTCAACAAATGAACATGTGAGAAATAGAAAATTGCTTTAAATAAATCATCAGAAATTTTTGTTAAAGTGTCAGTAAAGGCACCAAAAATCCAAAGTCATGCAATGTAAAAATGAGTCTTCTTATTTAAAACACTTAAAAAAACAATTACTGAGTGACTGTTGTATGCTATGCATTGTGTTAGGCACATAAGTAAAAAAATAACTCAAACATAAAAAATGTTTAGGCCAGATAAGTTTTATCTTTTATGAAATTGAAATAAAATTTACTATTTCAGTGATCTGAAAATAATTCTATGTGCAAAAACATCTAACTTGTGATATATCTCTTCAGGCTAATTTTAACTTTTATATCTTATAATAATAGAATGGAATAAGGAACCAATGAAACTATAAAGTTACTTCCTATATTTAGGGTAAAGAATCCCTGAATTATACTAGAATGTGAAAACTCAAAATAAAAAGTAACCAAACATGTAAGTAGTAATCTATTATCGCTGCAGTGATGCTAAGTCGCAAAGCTGGACTTTATGTGATGGTGAGAGATCCGATCAGTGCTAAATGGTATGAACATAGCAAAAACTTTCTTTCAAGAAGTCTAGAGAAATAATCTATTATAGTTTTCGTACAGTTATAATAAATCCTGAATAAGATAAAATTTTACAGTAAGAATAGTCCAAAATATTAAAACCTTGCAAACAAAGAAGATGAATAAACAAATTTAG